TCTCAGAAGTATCAGATCATTGACTGTTATTGCTGCAATTTGGTTCCCTGAGTCTTTTTCGTACGTTAGGTTAAACCTCCATTGAGCTGTTGCTTCGTATTCGAAGATGATATGAGTGGCTGTTTCCTCCTCCTCATTACATAATCTGCAAATGGCATCATTATTGTATATACCCATGTTATGTAGATGTTTTCTCAGATACCAGTGACCGGTTAGTAGTCCCACCACTCCTCTGAGTTTTGCCCTCTCCAATTGCAGCAGTGTTTTTGCCAATATTGGTGAGGGTTGTTTCAGCATAAGTTTACTATGTCTAGCACCGCTAGAGTTTATCCACTTCTCTCTTTGTTTTGTTTGGATCCATTATGCGATGGAGATTCTATGTTTGTTTTTGTTATCCCAAGGATAGGTTCGTGGCCTATGTTTGGTCTTGCAGATCCTCCTCTGGCCAGTTTGTCTGCTTCCTCGTTACCCAAAATTCCCCTGTGCCCTGGCAGCCAAGATATCATCAGGTTGTTGTGTTTTCCCAGGTTTTGGAGATTTTGGATACATTCATTGACTAGTTTTGATGTAATTCTTTTACATGCCAATACTTTAATAGCTGCTTGACTGTCTGATCTTATGAGGATTTTTTTTGTCAGTGTAACCTCTTTTAAGATTTTCCAGGACACAAGCGTTGATGGCATGTATTTCTGCTTGAAAGACCGAAGTGTACTTCCCTAATGAGTTTGATTGCTCATATTTTGGGCTTGTACAGAAAACGCCTGATCCGGTTCCTTCGTTTGTTTTGGAGCCATCCGTATACCATATCATTGTATCTGGTGCTTTCCTGTGTTCTTCCTCTCCTTTATAGTCTGTTGAGACTTTATAGGAAGTTGTGAAGATTGTTTCCGGAATCATGTAGTCAGTCCCCATTTCTAATAATGGGTGTCTGATTTTATTGATTTTGGTTGTATGCCCGAATTGTTTGGTTCCTTTCCAGTTTAATTGCTTCTGGAGCCTAAATGAGCTTTTCCTAGCCTCTCCTTGTATGAATATTTCAAGTGGAGGTAGGTTTAGCAAGGTTTCTAATGCGTTTGTAGGGGTTGTTCTCATCGCCCCTGTGATACATAGGTTTGCTAATCTTTGTAAGCTGCCTAATGTTTGGGTAGCTACTTTTTGTTGAGCTTTGTTCCACCAGATTAGTGATCCGTAGGTTATTCTGGGTCTTATTACTGCCGTATATAGCCAATAGGCCATTTTCGGTTTTAGTCCCCAGGATTTGCCTAGGGTCCTTCTTGTGGTCATTAGCGATATTTTACTTTTTGCTACTGTATGTTGCAAGTGAGGATTCCAGGTTAGTTTCTTGTCAAAGATTATTCCTAGATATTTGACCTCATTTTTTAAAAGCACCATTTCATTATAGAAGCGTAATCCTTGTATTTCTATATTTCTTTTCTTGGTGAAAGCAATTAAGGTAGTTTTTGAACGGTTTAATTTAAGTCCCCGCTTTAAGCACCATTGTTCCACCAGGTTTAGTGCTCTTTGGGTGTTTCCTCTTTTAATGTTGTTCTAGCTCTTTTAATGTTGAGTTGAATTTTCCCCTGACTAGTATGATTTCATAATAAATACATACTTTTATTTTTAAACATAGTTTTGGTTACCAGTAACTTATTTCTTGAAATATATACCTTAATTTTCTATGGCTTGAAGCCACATTTGGCCTTCCTGGTTGAGGAATGAATAAACCTCCGAGGTAATTACTCGACCTTCAGGGACCAACTCGAACTGGACTATACCCTCGAAATTCAGCAAACACAGATCATAACCTAGAGCTGATTGTACTCGCTTAACCTACTTTTGTTGTTAGGTCTTTTAAAGTACACTTATTTTCGCCCAAGAGACAATTAGTTTGATGAAAATAATTTCATTTGAGTTTTGCAGAAGAGTTTTGCAAATTACTATCCTCCGGCCTGCTGTGGGGTTAAATTGTGTGGGACAATTCTGAAGCTCCTGGGACTTAATTCAATGTCGTGCAAGTGCCGGAAAACTGTACTTTGTGATACTCCTAATTCTGAAGAAAGTTTCCGCGTGCTTGTTGTTCCATGTCTGACCAGTACGAATAGACATTGCATCTGTTACTTCTACTTCACATATTTCTCTGACCGCATCTGTCGCTTTGTACCTATCTTTAAAGTAGTCCCTCAAGTCAAAATAAAACAAATTTCCTGAATTAACTCAGTCATAAATTACGTATTTCCTCGACTGCAATATAAGTCTTATGTAATAGGATTAACTTTTACAAAAAGTGAAAAATAAAGAGTCGTAAGCTAGTTTGACAAACGTAGTGTATTTAATTTTGTACGAATCATACAATATAAACACTAGAGGTATTTGTTTACAAACTTTTGTTTATCAATAAACAAAACGCATAGACTTCTGCAACTCCCTACACTTTTAAAAATTGAAAAATTTAGCATTGTAATAGATAATAAGTGGACAGGATAGCTGATCTGTCCTGATTTTACTCTCAGGTCTGACTTTCGCCATCTTCATTGATTTTATTCCGGTTATATGTCCCCCATTTTGTTAGTAGTATACTTTTTCCGTGTGAGTTTTTGTAAATTACATGCGCGTTTCCGCATTTTGCAATCTGTAGTGGTGCAATACACTGTTAAATTTTTAAAAAAAGTCATGGCCTTATTATTTTTACGCAGCCCACTTTATTATAAAACTTAAGTATTATTCCAAAAGTAATTTATGCCTAGAATCTGCTGGTGCTATTAGAATTTTAATAAGTTCGCCCGTAAGCCAACCTCGTGTTCATATTTTTTCTCAAATGTAATATCCAATTTTTTTCACACATTTTAAAAGTCCTTTCTATTTTCCAAAAATGGATACCAGAAACCCAAAAATTCATTTCCAATAAAGGCTGTGTAAAAATAAAGACCATGGCTTTTGTAAAAACTTACACATTGTATTGCACCACTAAAGATGGCGAAATAGGGAAATGCGACAAAAGGCCAAAACAATGATGTTGAGAGGGCCAGAATTTTTGAAAATACAAAGCTGCTATAAGGTATTAGTGGCGATCAATTGAGATTTTTCTTGGAATAATGGCGTAGAACACTTCCTGGTGGTTGTTCCACAACAATTTTATTGGTATATTGAAAGGGCAAAACTTGAATTGGTGAAGAGGCATGGCTCAGCTAAGAATACTTTTAGATTTAAAGTTCAATAATTAATGCAAAAAATATTGTTAGTAAATACTGGCTGATGATTTGTACAAGGTAGTGAACTCGGTCGTACAGTGATTTTTTTATTACTGTTTTTTTATCGTAGAAATTCCTCCTTGCTGTTTGACATCAGTCTATTGTCATCAATCTCTGGTAATGATTTTTCCTGGAAGATTTTCGTTTCTTTATTAAAGGACATTCCTTTTTACCTCAGACTCTTGATTGTGGGTTTGATACCCATTATCACCCCTGTAATTTTTGACCCGAATCTCAAAAAATATAATATACTTTGTACCTACTCTCGCGGAAAACACAAGACAAAAACAATTACAGAATTCTTCCCATTGTTAGGTACTGTGCTGTATGCATTGCTCAAGAATGACTTTTATAGATGCCATAGCTTTTTCATAACTTTTGCAGTGCTGTTGCTTCGGAAATGTTCTGTGGTCTCTGTTCACAATATATAGTCGACATTGGACTATTTATAGTCCATTTTTTTAAATAATGTTTGTCTGGAGCTTGTCTCGTAGGGTTGTAGGGTCTTTCATTCTATTTTTTTTTGTTAATATTTTTGTTCGTCTCATGCCTTGCATAGGTTTTTAGCATTTGTTGTGTTCTTTAGAAATGCAAGATTACAGTTAGTAGAAACAATAAAGGTGGGATTATTCACTTTTTGCAAACAACAATGCACTGCAAACTGCAAGTAAAAGTATAATTTGGAAAAAGTGAAGATGACAGTTTGTTTTATGTGTCCCATAATTTATGGAAAAAAAAAGGAATTTGAGACTATATTGCCTGAAATTCCCTCAGGACTGGGACACTCACCTTAAACGCCAGGCATCCCAGTCTAGGATATTTATCTATACTATTTTGAGTTGATTTCGTAGACGTGAAGAGACTTTAGAGCAGCTATATATATGTCCCCATGTTTCTATGGCTGGTAAGATGGTTGTGGTGTTCATAGTTAGGCCTCGTCATGCCATTTTCTACCCCTGAGCCCATTTGTATACCATAGAAGAACTCCAGGTTTTTCATATTTTGTTATATCTTTCCATTGTGCTCTCTTTTCAATAAATATAAATAAATAGTTTTTCAGAGTGTAGTATTTTCTCTTATGCCACAGAAATTGTTTCAGCCATGTCAGTTATTTTTAAATTTGTCGAAAATTTTCCGTTGGTCAGCATCTGTCAGATGCTATCTTTCCTCTCAGCTTCACAACAATTCCTCAATCTTTTAAATAAAGTAAATAAGGGTGGTCGCTTGAAGTAACGTCCATTGCGGACGTGGGAGTTATTTTAAGAGGACCAGTGATGATAAGGCATGCTGTTCTTTGCACTTTTAGAATTTTATTATTCCCCTGCTTTTCTTTGTTCTATTTTTGGCCATCATAAATACAACTTGTATATGTGATCATGAGTCCTATTAACATAAAGTATGATCGCAAGGTTATATTAGGATTTAGCCCCTTTGCTTTACCTATGTTAATTAAAATACAGTCTCAATGACTTTGAATATTGCCTGTTAAAAAATTGATATTATTTTGTAAATGCTTTAAAAGAATTAATTACTATTATTATTAACTTTCTTTGTGTACCATGTTTTTAAGCTTTTAATATCTTATACGAAATATTTTTGAATGAAAAAAAAATTCTGTGGAATTCATTCGTCGTCATTTGTATATGTCATTGTGACTTGGGATCAATTGCTTTTTTAATTTGCTTCTCTTTTTTTTCCATCTGTGATTAATGACTTTGTTTAGTTTCAAGGTGTATTAAGAAAAGGTCTTACCAAATTGATAGTGACAACGAGGTCATGAGGTTGGTGTCTCTTCTTCTTGTTGTCCTTCTTGACCGGGGGTGGCGGGGGCGGAAGTGGCTTCGGAGTCGCGGGTTGAGCTTTGGGGGCCGGGGTCTTGACAGCCCCTTTCTGGGCCGAGGGTGGCTTCTTCACAGGGGTCCCTACGCCGCCTTTCGGGGCGCCCTTCTGGTTCACGTGACCGCTCCCATCGGCCGGCTTGTTCCTCGCCTGAAATCAAACATGCAATATGTACGGTCGTTAAAAGGAAAGTCAAAAAGCCTTTCATACATAGAAAAACATCAAATATAAAAATAGTAATTCCTCGTGTATTTTCATAAGCAGAGATTAACATGTGCAGAAAAAATTCAATATTGAAGCGAGTAAAACTGCTAAAATACAATCGGGAAGTTAATGCATGCTCTGTTATCATGTTATGCTTTTACATCATCCACTTAGATTTCTTTATAAAACATTAAGTCCTTCTGTCGTCCTAAAGAACAAATTTTACAAGTTCTCTAATTTCGTGGTCCGCTTGACCAATTAATATATTACAATTAATTAAGGTTTTTAGTTGAGATAAAAAAGTCAATGGCACGAGCGGGATTCGAACCCACGATCTTCGGCTAGATACGCCGCTGCTCTACCACTTGAGCTATCGTGACCTCGATCCACTCGGACACTAACTTCCCATCTCATTTGCGCCGAGAATCCAAACCGATTACACGACATTTGAAAAATGGCAAAAAGGAGGGAAACTTCAAAAGGTGGGGTTGAGATGGGAAGTTAGTGTCCGAGTGGATCGAGGTCACGATAGCTCAAGTGGTAGAGCAGCGGTGTATCGTGGGTTCGAATCCCGCTCTTTTTTTTTTGTTCTTCCATCGAAAAACTCATTTTTGAAGGGGGTGGGAACCAAATTCAGGGTTGCTGAGATCCGATCCCGCCCCTTCCATTGATGAGTGCCGTGTCAATTTCTTTCAATTGCGGCCACCGGTCCCCTTAGGCGTCAGAAAAAGTCCAGAGGCGACGGTGGGGATCGAACCCACGACCGTGGGACCTACTAGCCGAGAATCTGACTCCTTAATCACTCGGCCAACCAACTAAAATCCTTAATTAATTGTAAAATTTTACAAGGTTGATATCATTGAATTACTAAATTAATTAAAAATATTTTAACAACAGCAACTTGTAAACAAACCATTAAATCACTCGTAGTAGTATATAATATTTATGGGCCAACAAACATCTAGTGATCATCGCCGGCCCTCTTCGAATGGAACAGAAAGTTGTGAGGTTTTTTTTACGCAGCTTTCCCACTTACTCTAATATTTTAACGTCTGTTTTCTTAACTTGCTAACCTTTCGATTTGAGTGTTCGTCGTGGTACTGTATCGCTTTCATTTACTCTCGTAGAAATATTTTTTGAATGGTTTCAATTCAAACTCACATTTGTTAGAAATAGAAGTATTTTGAAGATTGAAATTGTAAACTATTTGAAAAGTAGGTATATTCGGGACAATTTTAAAAACCATTTAAACTAGAATTTTAAAAGTTTAAATATACGAAAGTTATAACTTGTAAATTGATTGTTTTCCATTCCTGCTGTTTTCCCGAATTGGCAGTTGGCCCTGAAAGCAAATCAATGTGTGGTGGCAGATAACTGTTTGTTTTTAAATGAAATATCGATCGGAGTGGAAGGAGTATTATGCTAGTATCTGCTGTTTCAGCAAGTGCGATTGTTAGTTGTCTAATTCCCACGAGGAGTCATATTTCAGGCGTTACAACCGAATATTAACATCTTGTTTCTTTCTTCTTATGTATTTAGTTATTGATATCATGTCATTTTATTAGTTTTTGAAGTTAAATTCATTTAATATTTAGCTTTTTTTCCCACCTCCCATATAATACACTAAATTACATTATATATTTAGAAACAGGCTTAGCCCCGAATTTTGTTTTATGCTCTCCGTTTGCACTGTAAATACATTGGAAAAGTTTTATCATTACCGGATTTTAGATTGCCAAACATTTTAGCCAAAGAGGTAATTCGAAAGAATAAACTGTTGTACAAAGAGCTCACGAGTACTTTTGATCGTTTGCAGCTTGGAGCTTTTGATTATTTAAATAAATAAAGAGTAAATTTGTTATTGGAAAAAGTTGAGCAAGAATTTAAAAATTGTCAAAGGCAAAAAGCGAAACAATCTCTTTTCCATCGTTTGTACTGGGATCTGAATTCAGAAGTAGGGGACAATCATTACATTTCTGATAATAATAGTTTCAATTTTATGATTTTTTACAAGGGTTCGAAACAGTAGACGTTATATCAACCCTCGGGGTGGGGGGCCGCGGTAGCCGAGTGGTTAAGGCGTCAGACGCTCGGCTAGTAGATCCCGCGGTCGTGGGTTCGATCCCCACCGTCGCCTCTGGACTTTTTCTGACGCCTAAGGGGACCGGTGGCCGCAATTGAAAGAATTTGACACGGCACTCATCAATGGAAGGGTCGGGATCGGATCTCAGCGACCCTAAATTTGTTCCCAACCCCCTTCAAAAATGAGTTTCTTCGATGGAAGAACACCGGTACAACGGGGGCTCAAGTTCACATTTGTGTTGCGAGCCCTCCCCCAAAATATGGAGCAAGGGATAAAGTACAATAAGCTGTACAGCTCAGCTGCAGTGCTCAGGAGGGAACTCCTCCATTCCCTGGTATCCATTAAAGGAAAAAAAAACCCCTAGGGGTGACGGTGTTTTTGAAGAAAAGTATGTCGGGATCGAATGCAGGACAGCAGGCAGCAGGATTCGAACCCGGGAACTTCTCCTAACAGTGATGAGCGCCGAGTCCTACGCTTAAACCGTTGCGGCCACCGACGCCCCTTTTTATGAGTGCAATTTTTAAACTTAGGGGACAATTACTGGGTTTGAATTATAATGTCAACCGTTCTGAAAAGACATTTATGTTCTATGCACAATAGAAAGGAAATAGAGGACTTGTACCATTATGTGGCGTGTGCCTATCTTACGAGAGTTCAGGGTCAGATGGTTTGGCGTAAATACTTTAGAAAGAAATTAATTGGTTGAACTCTTAAACAATTCTGATTGGAATTTGTCTATACAACTATCACGTTCAAACTGGCAGACATAGAGATTTTTTAGTTGAAGAGTTTAATTATTACATCTGTATAAGTTGGCATATACTATATGCTACAAGCCAACTTAATACTGATGGACTCTGTCCACATATTAGTATACCTGCATAGGATTGTGAAACTTTAACTTAGTATATATTTGAATAAACACTTTATTATTATTATTATACTTAACTTTTTAATTATGTAAATTTCCCTCGGAAAGTTTTTTTATGGTAATTGCTCCAGTTTTGCTTTGTAATAGCCTAATAGACGTCAGGAACGTAATAACCTTTATATAAGCAGGGAGTGGTTAATCTTATATGGCAGTGTGGATTACTTTTTAAAAAAGATGAGCGTGGCCCGAGGGTTTGTGGTGAGTGATAGATGGATGAGCTAAATAAATGCCTTCAGCCAGGACCAACATAAACATTTTTTCAAATTTTATTTTTATTCTTATTGCAATTTGGTTTCGGTTTTTATCAAAGGGTGTTTTCCCAAGGCAGTAAATTTTGTTTTCTTAAGATATTTCGGGTGTAAAGGATTTTCCTCCCTCACTTTTTAACCGCGATAAGAGTCAATGGAAAAACGACCCTCGTGTTTATTCAACTGCGGCGAAAGTGGGCCAGCTAATGGGAATCATTTTCTTCCCCGTTCTAATGGAGGTACTTAAAGAGAGTTAAGGCCGGGCGAGATAACAATAGATCGTTCAGGGTACGGCGATAGCTTCGTGGAGATAAAATAGAAAATGGCCTGATCGGCTTTTTCTCGGTATAGGGTTAGGGCAGGGGAGAGTGTGATAAGCGAAAATCCTTGGCCCTGTCAACCCTTCAACCGATGCTGTTTTCTATATGGCCCTCCTTATTAAAGCACCATTCAACTGTCAAGGGATTATATTAATTGGGCGGACCATTAAAAAGCAATTAATCTACAATCTCTTCTTCTTACATGCCAAAAATGATTGAGAAGACAGCCTCGTTTACACAGTAATAATGCTTAATATATGAGCATGCCTTCGTGTCAAATACCAAAAACCGCCAAAAAATAATTCCCGGTTATTCTCGAGGTTTGTAGAGTGATGAATTTTCCGATCTTTATGGTACGCTTATCCTCCCTGTTTTAGACTGGTGGTGCTAGATCGGAGACCTGGACTGCTACGGAAGAAATAATTCTATAGTGCAGAGAGAGGTAGATTCTGAGGGGATTTTTGTCCGGCAAGTTGGGTAGAAAGAATGTATAGAACAAGAAAAAATGAACAGTTAAAGAATCTGCACCAAGATGATAAATTTGGTTGGTGTAGTAAAGGAAGGTCATTGCGCTGGCTAGTCCATTCGGGTGGTAATAGACCACGGGGAAGACCTCGTTTAAAATGGCTCCAGGATGCGGAGAAGGAAAGATGGGAATAGGCAGTGGATAAGGAACTGACCGAGGTATCTGGTAGGCTTTATGAATTGACACCAAAGTTCTAGACAGTAAAACCAAAGAGTAAACAAGAACCTAAGTAGAGTCAGACGTGTTTCAACACTTCGGAAAAATGTAGAGGGATGATATAGACACGTTTCAATTTGAGGAAGAACCGCAACTAACCGACCAGCCCACTAAGGATGATCTACCAAGGAGATCTGAAACAATCCAACTCCTGCAGCCTATGCACCATGCAAATTTGAACTTTTCCGATCAATCTGGTGCGCATAATCTCGCTGTTTTGATCTGCCGTACGAGTTTTGTTGCATTACCGAATTTTCAGTGGTTGCATTGTGTTTATTTTAGCCTTTTAGATATATACAACCACTGCGAACGGCAAAATGTGGTAACAGCAACAACGCATAATAGCGAGAATAGGCAGGCCAGGATGAACGTCAGAACGAAGAGAGTGTGTGAAAGAGTGATGTGAACGAGCGAGTGAGAGAGAGAGAGAGAGAGAGAGAGAGAGAGAGAGAGCATAACTAGCACAGCCAAGCAACATAGTGTCGCGTAATAGTAAAGAAAAGAAACTTAACTATGCGTGACTGGTAGAGTCAAGCAACTTAACGACTCCTAACCAGTAAAGGAACTTAGCTTAACTACTAGAGAAAATTAAATTAATGCTATGGAACTGGTAGAGTCAAGC